TCTCCAGAGACCACTTTCACATTGTCTGGAATGTCCCCCTTGCCCACCCCTCCTCTCTGTTTAACCCTAATCAAGACCTAGTTTGAGTTCCAAATATGGTAATACTTGAGGCCTATTAAAAAAAAAAAATCCATTACAATCAAGCCGATTCCAACTCATGGCGACATCATGTGTTACAGAGTAGAACTGTTCCATAGAGTTTTCTTGGCTATAATCTTTATGGAAGCAGAGAGCCAGGCCTTTCTTCCACAGCACCGCTGGGTAGGCTCAAACGGCCAGGGTTTAGATTAGTAGTTGAGTGCAAACTGTTTGCACTTTTACGCCACCCAGGGACCTTATTGAGATCCATAACCCATTGCCATCAAGTCGATTTCAACTCATAGCAACCCTACAGGACAGAGTAGAACTGCCCCATAGGGTTTCTAAGGCTGTAAATCTTTACAGAAGCAGACTGCCACATCTTTCTCCCATAGAGCAGCTGGTAGGTTCAAACTGCTCCTGTATTATTATTTTTAATCATTTTATGTTTGTGTTTTCCCTTCCCAAAGACTTTGAGATCTGCAAGAGCCAAAAGCACCAATCATGTATACATCTTTCTATTAGAGATCCACAATAAGTTCTGAAAACAATGCTACCATAATGAAATGGTAAATTAACAGGGCTTTGAACGTTCTTTCTCAAAGAGGATACGAGATGCTTGAGCAATACTCTCTTCTCTCTTTCTGATTTTCAGGAAAGGTTTTCCGGAAAGGTTTTCCAGATGATAGGCCAAGATCTAGGGTCAATGTGAGAATTCTTAGTAGTTTGTTGTTTTTACTTTATCAGGGGACAATCTGCCTATTAAGAGCAAAAGTGGTGCTGCAAATTTTTCTCTTCCGGACTTTATTGAGGAACAGCTTCAAATTAAACACGTTTTTATTTCTTGGAGAAGTGAGATGAGGGAGCTGTGGAGCTGTGCGGCTCCCTACTTTCAGCTTTTGAGGACTTTGAAATTATACCCAAGATACCAAACACTTGCTTTCTCACTTACCTATCTGAAGCAGTCATTTTGGAAGGGACTACTTTGTTTTTCATTTTCTCTAAAGTTGAGTGTGATGAAATTTTGTCAGTATCAATTACAGGACATTTAAATGTTAAACTCTGGAGTAGTGGGCACTTGAAATTTTTACATCTTTTCTGCATTTATCTGCATGTTGTAGTCGTGTAAATATTCTTTCAAAATTAGAAGTATTTGCTTTAATTCTAAATTAAATTTTACATTTCCCTTTTTATTATTGTTTTAAAATAGTAATATTCCAAAAGGAACTTATCAAAATATGGTTAGTCTCTCAGTTTTGCTTTCAAAAGAATCATAAAATGATTGCAACTATTTAAAAAAAAAAAAAAGCTACTGATATCTCAACCGTGGCTGTACTTAAAACAACCTGGGGAGTATTTAAAAAATGCCAGTTCCTGGGCTCCAACTGATTCTCTCTCAACTGACTTGGTATAAGACCTAACCACCAGTTGTTGAGTGGATTCTGACTCATGGCGACCCCGTGTGTTGAAGAGTAGAACTGTGCTCCATACCATTTTCAAGGCTATAACCTTTTGGAAGCAGATCACCAGGATTTTCTTCCAAGGTGCCTCTGGGTGAGTTTGAACTACCAGTCTTCAGTTAGTAGTCAACCGCTTAGCCATTTGTGCCACCCAGGAATTCTGGATAAGGTCTAAAACCAAAAATAAAACCAAACCTGTTGCCACTGAGTTGATTCTGACTCACAGCAACCCTATGGGACAGAGTAGAACCGCCTGATAGGGTTTCCAAGGAGCAGCTGGTGGATTCGAACTGCCGACCTTTTGGTTAGCAGCCGAGCTCTTAACTGCCATGCCACCAGGGCTCCGGATAAGGCCTAGGCATGGGTATTCTTTGTAAATCTCTCTAGGTGATTCTAATGTGTAGCCAAAGTTTCACTGGCCATGGAGGATCAGGCTGCAGTATGCAGGCACCTCATATACGCCTCTATTAGAGCATTTATCACCTTATACCACACTTATAGAAGTAGAGGAGGAACCCTAGGAAGTCTCTTAATCAAAGCTGGTCAAGCTCTGTACCATGTGACCCCCAACAACCTGGACACAGGTGACTGACCCAGAAATAGGCACCTGACCCAAGTCTGCAGATCAGCAGGGCATCCAGCAGCCTATAAGGAGGCTTGATACAAACGCTCAGTCTAACTCTAGCACCTGGTTAGTGCCTAGCAGGGCCAATTAGATTCTTTCACTGAGGGAGTTTAAATGGGAGATCAACGGAGAGCTGAGCAGTTGGTAGCAGGAGCAAAAGCCAAAAGACACACAGAGAAAAACACCATGAGAGAGGAGCTGAATCACCTTGGTGGCTAAGCCAGTTAGAAGGATCAGCAGATGCCTGCTGCTGAGGGGGCAGCAAGATAACCCAGCCACAGAGCTGTATCCTGAATGACCTTCCAGTTCCTGAACTTCAATCCAGTTTTCGTGCGGCCTGGCTAGGTGGCCCTTCCGGAAGACTTTCCTGAGACACGTGGCTGAGTGGTGGAGATTCCGGTCTGCTTTCCTTCCACAGTAAACTCCAACACTTCGAGTAAACTCAGCGATATCTATTCCTTGCAACCCCAAAATACCCAATTGGCATAATTCACAGGGTCTAGCACATAACAAGCGCTAACTAATTGTAGGTGCTTGAACAGCCTGACCAACCCCAGTGAAAAGCCTGCGGAAAAATTAAGAAACCACTCAGGGTAAGAACACTGACGAGGGTCGTCTTCAACTTCCAAAAACAATGCTAAACTAGGAGAAATATGCTAAACTTATTCTGCTCTCCTGTTTCCAACCGCATCTATGCTTCTACCATGAATCCATCAAAAAAGGAAATGTCACATTCCACGGAACTGCAAAGAGCATCCTAATTCCAGCCAAGGTGTTTGGATGACTTGATTTTCACTTGGCTTAAACTTAACTCACAGAAATGTTAGTAAGAACAATTTTCCTCCCACACTAGCTTCACTGACAAACCTCCAAAGTAGCTGATCTTTGACTTTAAGTTTAATAATACATGATCTTCTCCCTACATTGCCACACACATTTCCCCTATTGTCTGTATCAGCTACTTGAAGAACACATACTCCCCAACAACCGGATGAGTCATAAAACAAGAGGTACATGGATGTAAACTGAGCCTGTTTACACTTTCTCTGGCCCCAGCTAAAAAAATAAAAGAGGTCCCACTGATCAGGTCCAATGGCTTCCGGAAAGCAGGTTTCTGCTTAGCAAAGTCATACCTCATTCAGTACATTATTTTAAAGGGAGAGCTGATCTCCTGCCCCAAGTAAATGAAATGTATTTATGGTTATAACCATGGGTGGGGTGCGTAAGGATTTGCCCTCCTCGTGTCCTCTACAAAAGAAGGCTTCTGGCTACTTCTGGTAGTGAGCTAACCAACAAAAAGGAATGTCTAAAAGGTCTCACCTCTCCGGTTCACAGTGCTCTGGGATGGGGGCTGGGTTCCTGCTCGCGGGAAACGCAGCGCCCAAAGGGGTGCTTGGTTAGGTTTCCATCTGCATTTTCAAAAATCTGGATAAAAGCAGATTTAGCCCTACCTCCCCTGACCTGATCCTGATAAAGTGATCTTACGCCTCTGGAATTGGGATTTTGAATGTATGTGCCTACCCCATGTCTGGTATTATATTACATGAGCATGAAAATGGAGCCTAGGACTGAGCAGCCGGCCAGCCTCAGAAGCCTTCTTCATTGCCTGCCATGTAATACATGATATGCAAAGCCTCTGACTTCAGCCAGCAGATATTTGGAGACCGTGTTGGCTCTAGCACGGGGACTAAACTAATGTCTGTTTAGGTCAGAAAGCGAATCAGAAAAGCCACTGGAGAGCACGTCACGAGTGAGAGCGCTATAAATGCATCCCCATTCGCAGCGTTCCCTGGCAAACTCTCGGCTTCCCGCACACGGCCGCTCCACATCTCTCCTTCGTGGTGCTTTGAGAACTCCTGCCGGCAGCTCCCCTTCTCGCAGCTGCCTTCTGCCCTGCAGAAAGCCAGAGGGCGAGAGAGCTGAGGAGGAAATAAAAGACTTCGACAGGCTCGAGGAAAGTCCCGTCAGCCCTCCACCGGGCAGAGGGCCCCCCCCGCTCCGAGCGCCGGGCGCGGGAGCGAAGCCAGGCGCGGACGACGCGGGCGCCGCGGTCAAGTTTGGATTGCCCACTTCGGTTGGCCTGCGCCGAGCTCCGCACATTCCTCCGGATCTATCCCGCGAGGAGGAGGCGCGAGCCCCGCAGCGTCTCCACGCGCTGAGCGCTCTCCCTGCACCCCGGGGAGGGGCACCTCGCGTCACCCACTCACACCCGCGCCCCGCTCGGGAGTTTGGACGCCTCCTCGCTGCTCTTCTTTCCCTCCCCCACCGCCGGGCCCCGCCGCCGCCTCCTCCCGACCCCTCCCCTCCCGGGGGCCGCGCTCCCTTCCCCCACCTCGGCCCCCCGGCCCGGGCTCTCGTGGACCAGCCTGCGCTCCTGGCGCCCTCATGTCTTCACGGGACTCCCCGCGCCGGTTGACGTGGTGTTTCGTTCGGATTTCCAGGCCAGACCTCAGCTCCGGCGGCAGCATCAACCCCGCCCGTCTCGTGCTCCCCAGCGCTGCGCCCCGAGGAGGCGCAGAGCGCGGCCGCCGCCGCTGAGCTGCCCGCCGCGCCCCGGGCCGGTGCAGCCCCAGCCAAAAGCGCGCCGCGCGCAGCCGTGTCGCCCCCCACCCAAAGCAGCGGCGGCTGCTCGGACCTCGACTTCTGTGGGTGTGGGGGGCTGGCAGCAGTCTTCGCCCTCCTCGCGGCGGCGGCGGCGGCGGCGGCAGCAGGAGCCTTGGCCGCCGCCTCCTGCGCGCCCTCGCCGCCCCGCGCGGCCCCAGGATTGCGAACTCTTGCCCCCAACCTGTTGGGCGGGGCTCCGCGCTCCTACCCTCGGCCCGGATGCTTCTCCTGGCTGGGACTCGGGGTTCCTGGAGTTAATGTCCAACTGGGGGTCTGCAGAGACCGGATCCGAGGTAAGTGGGGGGAGAGGGCCGAGGTGGAGGGGGCAGCTGGCGCAGGTATTGCCGGCGGGCGCGGCGGGCTGCGGGGCTCCCGGGACTGAGGAGCGCAGCTGGGCCCCAGAGCAAGCGGTGAGATTGGAAAGAGGAGAGACTAGAGGGAGCCAGGGCACCAAGAGGACAGAGAAGAGAGTAAAATTGAACCGGAGAGAGCCTGGCCTTGCAGAGGGGCAGGTTGCCTTTTCCGCGTGGGGCCAAAATCTCTGGAGACCCTGATGTCCTGGCCCCGGGAATGCCCGAGAGGGGCTGTTTCCCTCGACTAGGTGGTACCCTCGTCAGTCACGTCCCGGGACGGTGCGGGCTAGGGTTATTCTCAAACCGACGTGGCCAGGGAGGGTTCTGTCTCTGGACGTGCAGCTGCAGAGATATTGTCATTGCCGAGAGTGTAACTTCCTACTCAGCTTCCTTTGGTCTGTTGCGAGGGAAAACGCAGGCCCCGGGAGAGACTGCTGCAAAGGTGCTGAGAACCTAAAAATAGAGGGCTCACCTCCTCCGGGCGTGGTCTCGCCCTTTTCAGGACCAGGTTGCTTGCACTTCGCTAATGCCCTCCAACCCCAACTAACCGTCCTGGTCGAGGTTATTTAGGTAAGGGGCTCCTTTGGCAGTCTGAGACTCAGGTCTCCGCCTGAAGAGATTCTTAGGACTCTTCAAAGTCCCCGCCAGGTCATCGAGATGATTATTTTAATGATCTCCTTTCTCCTGTACTCTGCGTCTCCTTTCCAGTAGCACCTTCCACCTTGCACCACCACGGGTCAGATTCCGCGGTGGTTCGATTTCCAGACCAACTCCGCGTAAACGAACCCTCCTTAGGGTCGGAATCCCGGTCTTTCGCGGGTTCCCCAGCCTGCAGGCACCTTTCTAGTTTCGGCTCCAGCAGACTCCGCTGGCAGAGCCGAAGAGCGCGCCCCAGGGGGCTACGCAGCCCCAGGCTCCAAATGTTTTTGCTCATTGGCTAGGACAAATTCAACTCTTCCGGCCCGTGGCGCGAAAAAGTTCGAGCTTCCTCGACTCTTTCTCAGTATTTTGAATACACTTAAGTGTTCCAAGGAAGAGATGCTGCTTCCAACCTCACTCACGCACTCCCTCTCGCAAAGCCCTCGATGTGGGAGCCCAGTTCGCCCCTGGGTTTCCCTCCCTGCTTCGAACCGTCCCGCATTGGCGAGGGAGGGGGTTGATGCTGCCTTTCAACAAGTGACAAGTGTCTGATCCGCAGCCCACTCCCTCAAGGGACTCAGATGCTCCTGGACCTGGGACTTGCCCCCTTTAACAGACAGACCCCCCTCCTCCTGCCTGCCCGCGGGAAGCGTCCCGCATTCTTTTTCTTTTCCACGCTTGGGCACAGATGTTGGAGGGAGAGAATAAGGCCTCCATCAGTCAAGGACACGAGGCAGCTAAGACAAGCAGTAGCTCTTTCAGCAACCTCTCTCCCTACCCCAAAAGAAAACCGCCGAGCGTACAGCCAACCGCCCTCTCTCCAGTCCCACCGCCTCCCTTTTCTCTCCCTGAGATCTGGATCTTGAAGGCAAAGCCCAAATAAACCTCCCAGCCTGCCAGGCACAAGAAGGTGCGGGGGCACTGGTGGCGGGATCTCTCACCAGCAGCGAAGCTGTCACTGTGACTCCGGGAAGGGGAGCGGGGGAGGGGGCGGCGACCGCAGTTCTAAAGGCAGGTTGCGAAGAAACCAGCTCAGGTGAGGTGAGAAGAGAAAAACTAGGGAGAGAGAATGGAAGGGTAGAAGCCTGAGAAGCAGGGACGCTGGAAAGGACATCCAGAAGTTCCAGGGCTAATTCAGATTTGGGAAGGATTGTAGGAGGAGTGCTTTTTCTTCTCCGGCTTATACTTAAAATGACAACTCAGCCTCCCGGCAGCGTGGGCGCTGCAGGACTCGGGCGGTTTCTGGTGCCCCCTGGTGCTGAGAACCCAGAAGCGCCCGGCAGCTAGCTGCGGCTTCAGCGGGCGCGCCTCTCTCTCACCTGGGCGTCCTTTCCGCTCCGGGCCTGGGGACTCAGGTGCCGCGCCCGTGGAGCGTCCCTTTAGCCCCGCCGGGGCGCGCTGGTCCCGGGCACGGAGGAATAATAGCCTGTCAGGCACAAGAAAGAGTGCGGGGGCACCTGGCAGAGCTGACTTCGCGAGGAGAGTTTGGTTCTTGCACGTGGCAACGCTTTAAGTAGTTCGCGCGCGCAGCGTAGGCGAATGACTGAGGGGGCTGGGAGGGGGGACGAGTCGGGCAGACGGGCTTTGGGAAAGTGATAAAGAGACAAACTGGGAGGCCGCAGGGTGTGCGAGGGGACGCAGACGGGCACTGAGAAGCGCGTTCCAGTGGACGTCAGTGTATGCCTAACCCCCGTCACCGCCCAGCAAATACCAGGAACTGAAGAGCCGCTCTGGCCCGGAGAGAAAAATGAGCCTTCCCTGTCCCGGAGTAGTGGGGTGGGGGGGGCCTCTATCGGGGCCCAGGCCGCGCCCGGCCGGGGGCGGGAACGGGAGCCGGGAGCCTCCTCTGGCCAGCTTCGCCACACTTCTAACTGAGGATCTCCACGTCCAATTTAATAAGCCCTAAGTCCGCCAAGCGGGAAAAAAGGGAAAAACCCTCTTAATGCGGAAGGGAAATCTGGTGCCTATGTCGCTTCCTGCTGGCGGGCACCGCGATTTGGAATGGCGCATTAACCCCGCGCCTCCCTGCTCCTCCCGGTCGCCAGCCATTTCGCACGCACCGGGGAGCTGGCACAGAGAGGGCCCGAGGCCTCGCGTTCCCCCGTACCCGCTGCCAAAGCGCCTCGCTGCGTTAATTTTGCATCGCCTGGGTGCAGTTTTGCCTGGGCCAGTGCGCCGGGACCCGCCCCAGAGCCGCTGCTTTTTCCCGGGTTTGCAAACAAGCCTGTGTGGCTTGAGACGCCCAATCTTAAAGCTGCCTGAAGTTCCCGGTCCCTGCAAACTTCCCGAGCCCAACAGCTGCATAGGGGGTAAATGCCCAAGGGATGGAAAGTGCATTTGTCTCCGCAGCGGGAGGTGGCGGCCGAATTAAACGCTTCCCAGGGTGGCCCGGTCGGGCACCGGTGCTGGGGTTCTAGGTGGGATGCCAGGAGGACGGGGCTGGAAGGGAGTCGGGCACGCCTGGGAACTAATAAGGATGAGAGGTGCTGAGATTTTTGCAGTTTGCCTAGAAAGTGTCTCCCCTTCCCTGCAGAAAGTTCAAGGAAGTTTTTTTTTTAAGAATCCGTTTTATTTGGGGAGGGAAGATAATGAGCTGCTTAAATCCCGAGTAGTTTCCGCTTCAGAATGCTCTCCCGCACCCTCGGAGATTGGAACACTGGCTTTAAGAAGGGACTGGATAACACACACCGAGGTGCACCAATCCCCTCCCCACCTTCTCATTGGGTGGGGTTTGGTCTGGAGTTTACAGTGCCTTTTTTCTTGCCAGCCTCAGGCTGCGTGGCCCTCCTTTCTAGGGGTGTGAGGACTTTTCGACAAGCCACCGGAGCTCCCTGACTGACAGAATCTAAGCCCCGACCCCGTGCCATCTCGCGGCCTAGGCCTTCGGGTGACTGGAGTGGCCGGACAGGGGCGCGGGGAGCTCGCGACTCTCCGTGGAAGGGAAGGGACTTAGGGCCAGAATCCAGTAGGGCTGCCAAGTAAAATCAAGAGGGGATTTTAGGGTATTTTACGGAGAGTTTAAGTTTTCAAAAGAAATGCAATCCCTGCCTAACAGCAATGGTAAAGCATTTATTGAATGCTTCCTGTATGCCCTACTAGGCTCTTTTCATGCTTTTTTTTTTTTAAATGTTAAGAGGTGAGACTAGTATTTTAAGTCGAGTAGATGCCTCAGAAGTTAAGTAATTTTACGCAGATGGTCCCATACAGGCTTAAAGTCTCCAAATCCCTAACTTCTTGGTTTTTGGGTGGGAAGAATGAAGCGCGGGTGGTAGGCGGAGTGACCGGTGCGGCGAAGCCTGGCGCGGCGCGTGGAGCAGGGTCGGGACCCTCCGACAAAGGGGTGCGCTTGATTTAAAATTTTCAAAAAAGGTTCGTCGCTTGCTTGGGTTCAGGGCCAGTTCCCCAGGCTCTTGGGAGCTGTCGGGCGGGGAGGGGAAGTCGCTGGCAGGGGAGGCTGGGGACTCAGTTAGGCTTCCGGAGAAGGGGGTAGATAGGTATTGCTCGCCAATAAAGGGCCAGCCTGGAGTCCCAGTGCCGTTGTGTTGGGGGATTTATCGGCCAGAGCAGCGGCCCTGCTTCAAAATCCGACCCCTAGGACGGGGTGGCGGAGGACAAGGGCAGCTGCGACCTGGACTTCGCTGGGAGGGCGCGCCGGGGAAGGAGGGGAGCGGAGAACTGGAGTGGGAAGGGGGATGTCCAGGGGTGTCTGGAAAGAAGGCGGTGACGAGGTTGGAGAGGATGCAGGGACCCGTAGGGATGTCATGCCTGGGGCAGCAAGCGCCGGAGCCTAGGGGGTGCCCATGCCTAAAGTGCATTGTCTGGTTCTCTTTCCCGCGGCCCGCCCGCGCAGGTGCCGCCGCTGGACGGGACTCTAAGATGAAGTTATGGGATGTCGTGGCTGTCTGCCTGGTGCTGCTCCACACTGCGTCCGCATTCCCGCTGCCCGCCGGTAAGAGGCTTCCCGAGGCGCCCGCTGAAGACCGCTCCCTCGGCCGCCGCCGTGCGCCCTTCACGCAGAGCAGTGACTGTAAGAACCGTTCTCTCCCCGCGGGGCGGGCCGCCGGTGGACCCTCACGCACCCCTTTCCGCTGTCCGCACACACCCCAAACCAGCCTCCAGTGTGGTCTCTCCAATCCGCCGGCAAAGCGGCGCTGGGCAGATGCCCAAAGGCCTGGGACACCTTGTCTGTAAATGAAATGGGCTGGTTTGCCCAGCACGAAGGGTATCGAAGTTTTACATTGCCCGATTTTTATATTACCACCACAGTAAAACACAATTGTCCCCTTCTCTTGGCTTCCATATTATATATACACACCCCATTCTTTTTCTCTCTTCCAAAACCCTTTATCTGTTTTTGCTGTGCCTGGATACGCTTAATTCTGAAAACTGTTGCACTTCCACCCTAAAATGCCCCTGAAAGTGGAGGTGCCTGGTTTTCACAAAAACCAAGCCAGAGACAGAGAAAACACAGAAGAGCCTCCATTTCCAGAACAAACATCTGGGCAGTGTCAAATCTGTTCAGAAAAGTTCCGGTTCTAGAAAGTTTTAGGGAAAATAGTGCTGGCTGGCTTTAGGGAAAGAAAGCTGTAGTACACACCTCAGGTGACCATGTTAACTCTTAAGAAAAGGCCTGGTTATTCCTATTAGAGAATAAATCTGTGATTTGCCTCTCAAAAATTGGTATGTTTTAAATAGCAAATTCTACTAGGGCATGTTGACTGTGATTTGCTGTCATTTACCCACCACTCTTCCAGAAGTTTATATGTAGTATATAGTTACATTACATTACAAATTATCGAGGCTATTAGGGAGGTATATAGATAACAAAGGTAACAACAGGAAATTTGACACACAACCCCAAAATGTGCTGTTTTGCACAGGAAACATACTGTGGTCATACCCACAATTCAGCTACACAATTCATACTACACAATTCAGCTATGAGTTAAGAGTCCTCCAAACCCCATGGCCTTGGGCTAGGAAACAGGCTTGTTTTATGCCTAATTACAGCAACCGAATCATCTTCTTCCAGAAGTCCCAAGAAAGAAAAAAATGCGCATTTTTATAAGGCAGATTAGGACATCAAGAAAGATTTAGGATTAGAAAGAGAACAGTACCTGTTCCAACCAGAGCATTCAGGAGAGAAAAATGAACTGTGCCTGATTCTAAAGCTGATGAAGTCACAGAGATTTAATTGGCATATTAGTATCCTGTCTACCTTTGCTTATTTAATACTGGCTTCTGGTTCTCGCTCCACCTTCAACAATTCTGTGACTTTGGACAAGTTACTTATTTACTTTAGGACTCAATGAACAGTTTACAGCTGTAGAATAAAGGGAGACTTTTCCACTCCAAAATGCCAACGGCTACAAGATTTGCTACCTGGCCTTCATACTCCTGTCCTCCTCATCCTTTGGGAAGAGACTTATGCTTACTGGAATCACCTGAACTCTAAAAAGCACAAATGCTGGGACCCACCCCAGATATTGTGATGTAGTTGGTTTGGGATGTGGCCTGGACATCTGGGTGTTTAGATGTTCCCCAGGCTCACCTGGCTGTCTAGGGAGCAGCCAAGGTTGAATCACTATCACTTGATGATACCTACAAAAATCACGAATTAGAATGGCTGTAGGAGGCATCAGTGGTTCATAGAAGGTGCAACAAGCTACAAGCAAGCAAGTTAACATTAATCCTGCTGATATTGTGGGGGGAGGGCATTGTGGAGTGAAGAATGACTTCTGTTTTACACACCAGATACTAAGTCATCAATGGACCTAAAAGAAGATTCTGATTACTGGATTTACATTTGAACCAGCAGAATACACCCAATTCTGTTTTACCTGGGGGAGGACCCAATAGATCCTAGAGGAAACCTGAATGAGAAATGTTCCCAAAGAGAAACTGAGCCGCACACTAAGCCAAATTGACTTCTTTCCAGGTATGTTCAACTCGGTAGCAAGCTGTCAGTTCGGGCAAGGCAGAATAATGACAGTGTGCAGGCTTCGGACACTCCAACAGTATCAACACGCCCCCGTCACAGAGCTGACATTTATATCCTGCACTGTGCATGGTGCAACTGGTGAAGGCTTACGGAGAAAAACATTAAGTCACTGCATTTCATTTGAAAATAGAAAGTACTATAAATTCTGGCCCCTCTGGGTCCCTTTGAATGCTTGTAACTTAAAGACCGACAAAAGAATCTTTCATACCATGTTAACAGTCATTCTTCGCTGTTCAGAGGGGAACTGTATCCCGTCTGCAGACTCATCCTTTTGGTTGGGTGTCTTCTGCTGGTTCTAATGTAAACGAAACAGTCAGAATTCTATTCCTAGCAGCATCACAAGATGAACTAACTTAATAGAATAATTGGATAACTTGTTTGAAGGTTGACAGGAAAGTAAATGGGCCATGGTTGCCTCCTACAGTAACTCCTGTTGTTATTAGGTGCCCTCAAGTCAATATCAACTCATGGTGACTCCATATGACAGAGTAGAACTGCCCCATAGAGTTTTCGAGGCATTTTTTTTTTTTTATTTTACGGAAGCAGATCACCAGGTCTTTCTCTCACAGAGCCACTGAGTGGGTTTGAACCACCAACCTTACGGTTTGCAGCCGAGCACTTAACCATTGTGCCACCAGAACTTGTCTAAACTCAAGGAATTGTGATTTTACTTTTGGGGCACCCGAGGCTATTCGCTTTCCCTATCTTTGTTTGTTTATTTCACTTTTTACCAGTATCTTCTCCAAAGGGTGTTTAGAGAAGGTGTGAGGAATCTAGAAGGTGAAACTTGCAGGTATCATAGCATTTTAGAGTTGAAAGGAAAGGACCCTAGAGCTTATGGTCCTGAGGCCTAAGGAAGTAAAGTAATTTGTCCAAAGTGCCGCAGTTCTGTGATGGCAGGAGGCAGGTCTGCTGCAGCAGAGACCAGAATTTTCCCAAACCACTCTTCAACAAGGAGCGTCCGGTTTTGCTAGCTGGGGGAAAACACTTTATACGGGAGGAAGGTCTTTAACTAATGACTAAAATAGTGTTGCAGATCGCCAGGCCTTTTTTCCAAGATGTTTCTGGGTGGGTTCAAACTGCCAACCTTACAGTTAGTAGTAAAGCACTTAACTGTTTGTACCACCAGGGCTGCCCTAAAATAGTCTTGCAGATTGTATGAGTTCATTGAAAGTTTGTTAATCATAGTCATATTCCAGATCTCAGCTGTGTGTGGCAGCTGTCAGTGTGTTTCCCACGTAAAAGCATAAACTGCAAGTGGTTTTAAAAATTTCTGGTCTAAAAGCAGACAGGTAGTCCCTTACTTATGATAGGATTCCATTCAGAGGACCGCTCCGTCCTAAGTCAGTTCTGACATAAAGTGAATTCTTCATTATTTTTTTCCTTTAGTTTTCATTATTGTTGTCTTTTATTATCAGTATCTTTATAAATCCGATCTTTATGTGTCTTTGGGCATTGGAAACATTGCATCTGCGAAAGATAACATCAGCAGATTATGTGCTGCAACATTGTGTGTAGTACATATTACTAAAGATTAAAAAAACAAACAACCAAACCCATTGCCGTCGAGTTGATTGCAACTCATAGCAACCCTATAGGACAGAGTAGAACTGCTCCTTAGGGTTTCCAAGGGGCAACTGATGGATTTAAACTGCCGACCTTTTGTTAGCAGCCGAGCTCTTAACTAACAATAAGATGTACCAAAAAAAAAAAAAAAGAGGATGGTCGTAAGTGCAGTTCGTAATAATTTGCATATATTGTAAGTCGGGGACTACCTGTGTATTCATCGAACAAGTATTTAATGAGCGCTTGTATGTGCCTGGCACTGTCCTAGGTGCTACCAAAAAAAAAAACCATTGCCGTCGACTCAATTCCAACTCACAGGGACCCTATAGGACAGAGTAGAACTGCCCCATAGAGTTTCCAAGGAGCGCCTGGTGGATTCGAACTGCCGACCTTTTTGATTAGCAGCCGTAGCACTTAAGCACTATGCCACCAGGGTTTCTGTCCTAGGTGCCAGGGATGCCTTAAAAAAAAACAAAAAACCATTGCCGTCTAGTGGATCTATCCTATAGAAGAGAGTAGAACTGTCCCATAGAATTTCCAAGGAGCAGCTGGTAGATTCAAACTGCTGCCCTTTTGGTTATCAGCCATAGCTCTTAACCACTGCTCTATTAGGGCTCCGGGGATACCTTAGTATACATAATATATAAAAGTCCCTACCCTCATGGAATATACTTTCTAGCAAATGTACATGTATGGTACACCTGAAAAACTAAAAACGTGAAGGAAACTTGGGCTAGTAAGGTAGGCTTAATTTTTTGTTTGACTTGAAGCCAACTGAGACAGTGAGCAGTTTTAAATTGTACTTTCAGGTAGACCCCAATTGTAATATAATGTGATTATATTCCACCAGTTTGGTAGCAGGTCACAAAATTTCCCTTAGACATAGTCTAAGTCAAGCTATCACGTTCCCAGGCTAGCCCACAAAAATCTATCTAAACCATGATGTAACTGAACTATAATTCACAATATTATTAGGCTAGAGTTTCTGCCCAGGGTGCCCATGGCCCATAGTCTGCACAGGGAGGGCATAGAGCAAGATACCAGGAAGATTCAACAAGCAAGAGCTGAAGTTAACACATTCAGATCAGAATCTGGTTTGCATCCCGGCCTTGCTGTTACTTAACATCTCTTAAACCTCAGTTTTCTCTTCTGTAAAATAGGGATAATAGTAGTATCTGCCTCATGACGTTGATATGAGGGTCAAATGAGAAAATGCTTTGTAAAACCCATGTCCCATAAATAGGTATTGTCATTGTTATTTGCCACCCTCCTACTTACAAGTGCCCATCCCCAGGCACCCAGTAAATGCCTTTCTCCTTTCACGGCCGTTCACTTTGACATCTCTGCCAGGATGTAGCTCTCAAATGATGGAATTTCAGGCAGGACAGCAGAGTACCACAAGTGAAAGAAATGCAAGCCTTGTGGGGAGGCTATTTTGGGCCCCTCCGTCAGTCAGGATG